TAAGTAATATCCATTAATCCTATAAATGATAGCTCATCATTAAGCCCATAATTCTTAGATAAATTATTCACAATGTATAACTGTAATGTGACTTGTTAAAATTACTGATATGAAAGGTTGATTGCAGACTCGTAAGTTATTACTTTTAAGGTCGAAAATCTTAATTCAATTTTATAGAATTAAGGAACTACGTAGATTCTCAAGATTTTTAATATTCATTTTAATATTCAAAGACCTCAAAATCAATATAACTCAGGGTTTATATTTGAAAAGAAGAAATTTTTCATTGCCTTTTCAAGGTTCTCCAGGTAGATTTCTGTAAAATTTCAGGATATGCTTTAAAATGTGACAAAATTATTATTTAATAAAAATGTAAATAAAATCGCTGATATAAGAAAGCATTAATAAATGATTGTTTAAAAACAATTAGGTGATTGAGAGTACGCCAACTCCAATTCGAAATGATAAATTGCCAGAACTATATACCTGGCTGAAAGGGAGGAGAAACAAAGAAACTTTACTGGGCAACATTGAGAAAGAAGAAAATATCCCCCCCCCATAAATATGAAGCTGTCGTTTTTTCTATATAAACAATTAAAACTCAGTGTATAAACATGGATTAACAAATTAACTATAGGAAAGGTGAGCACCAATAAGAGTGCAAAATTTAATTGAGCAATAATAATTAAAAAAAGAAAATAAAAATAAGTAAACAATTCATTTTTCATTGAAATTGATCCATACTTATCAAATTAAGTCAAATAAAATAAATTACAAAAATAAAATGCTCTTTTTTAGCAGAAAAGCAAATAAATGAAAGATATAAAAATACTATTTTTAATCCTCAACTATAAAATATATAAATTATCCAAAAATATGAAAGACAGTTGCAAAAAAATGAAGGGAAAAAAAGCAAAACCTTATGAATCAGTAAAATAGAACAACTAAGTCATCTTAAAAAAAAAAAAAACTAATTAACTAAGTAAAAGTATTATACAAATAAATTGTATTTAATATAAATTAAATCGGATGCAATCAACTAGGAGAAATGTAAAAAAAAAAAACTATAAAAACAGGTTAAGATTTTCTATTTCATAAAAATGAAATATTAATAAACCTGATAAATAGATAGAAAATATAAATTACAATAATAATCCCAGAAGCTAATAATAATAATAATAAAAAATACTTTTTTCATGATAAGTGCTAAACCAACACCAGCTAACAAATACATAAGCTAATTGATGTTATACATTCAAATGAATTTTAGTCAACTTACAATAAAATCAAATTATAAATAAGATTTATTAAACTCACCGAACTGATATGAAACACAATTAATAAAAACCATAATGCATGAAACCACAATTCTTTTATAATTAAATGAGAATTACAAATAAAACAATAAAATACAAAGAAAGCTTATTAATCAAATTACATAAAACACTTATATAAACAAAACAGAAACAATAGTTAAAAGAAGGGCTAAAATGAATATTAAGATATAAGGAAATAATGGATCAACTAAAAAGAAATCTATCTTATAACTACTGAATAAGAATCATTATTCAGTACTATATTTCATAGATGAACAGGGGTTAGCTAGTTAACTAGTTGAATAAGAAATGAATTACTTCTTAACAGAGAAAGCTGCAAATTGCTTCAGAAAATAATAATCTGCTTTTAGTTATCAGGGTGCGTAGCCAAATCTCTCAACAAAAAATAAGCACCTTTAAAGTACTTTTTAAGCACTATATACATGAACAAAAAGTATAATAGTTTTAATAACTATAACTAAAATAACTATAACTAGTTTCTAACAAAGAATTATTTTCTTGATTGTATTAGCCACGATTAAAAGATCAAGATTTTTCGGTTCAATTTCAGAGGGTGGAAAATGAAGCCAGAAATTGAGAATATCTTGCAAAATGTAGCAGAGTTGCACATGAGAGTGCAAGAATCTCACCGAACTCAGCTCAGTAGACGCACATGCAGACTTTTAAGTATTTCGTCAAACGCGTAACATGATTCGGGTGCTATCATACGTTGCGGGCCGACGGTATGCGGAAATGGAATGTGGTTCAATGATTTGTGAAAACGTTGAATAGCACAAAGTAAAAACAACGCTTTTGCATAATATGCAGTGAAAATTTACATGGTAAAGGAAAAAATATCATTTTCAAAAAAAGGAAAAATTAAGCTCTTCTTGAAAACACCCCATGAAAAAGCACCTTTGAAATTTCGCAATTTGATATGGTGTCGAATTCCTGGATTTGGAGTAAAATTACATTTTCCCTAACTGGGTACTAGCACTTCGAGAAGATCAAACATACCCACAAACATAACCTATGACGTCAGCTCCAGTGGATTGCCAATAAACAAAATGGCGTGCCTAAGTTCAGAATGTGTTAGAATATTAGTTTATGAGAAGTTAATAAAATAAAGCGCCATATCCAGCATCGAATTTGTCGAAATACAATTCTTTTTTAGATTTATTATTTGTTTATGTATTTTATTGTAGCACATGATATATTTTTGTTTTGTATACCAGGCAACTTCGAAGCATAATTAAATTCTTCATGGCTCCATGCTTGCCTTTGTGTTAAGAAACAGGTGAAAGAATTGAAATCATTGTGAAGGATTATAGAATGTATCACTAAAGAAAATAGATACTTGACAGGGTAAGTTAACTCGAAATAGAATGGAAAGAACACTTGCTAACGTAAGTAAAGCCTCATTTTAACAACCAATCAGGCTTGAGATACCCACTTGCTACGCCACTTGCAGGCATCCCATTCCCAGGGTTGCCACAGAAAGAAATGAACAAAATAGTTACCTAAATAGGAACAAGAAACTTTCAATAATATGACTATAATTTTATTGAATGACTTAATTGTCATCTACCAGGATTCATTTAGTCAAGTTGGAGGCGAATACGATAATATTTATATAAACGTTAGTGTTCTAGCACTAAATATTTATGTAAAAAAAAGTTAGAAAATTAAATACTTTTAATTATAATTCAGAAAAATAATGCCGATTAAAAAAACATACTTTTTAAAGAAAAATTTTCCTTCCTTTTATCAATCATTGAAAAGTGTGATTAATCACATTCGAAATGCACGCATCGTAATATTGTATTAAAAAATTGGGTTTTTTAAAATCACGCAGAATTTCGTAGCAGTAACGGTTGAAAGGGCTACTGAGAAACAAAATAGACTTATGATGGAATCTGTGCGAATTAAGTGCATTAAAAAGTGATGACTCAAATTTGCAATTCAAAATTTTCAACATTTTTTTTTTAATTGCCGCAGGTTGTCAACCCAATTTATGCTTCTTTAAAAATAAAATTTAAAAAAAAAACACAGCTGGAATACAGAAAAGTCCTCCAATATATATATATATATATATATATTTANAAAAAAAAAAAAAAAAAAAAAAAAAAAAAAAAAAAAAAAAAAAAAAAACACAGCTGGAGTACAGAAAAGTCCTCCAATACTTTTCCTAAAAATAGTTTTTTTTTTTTTAAGCCTTTTCAGACAAAAAAAGTTGCCATAGTCACCTCCGGTCGAAAATAGTTGCAAATAGTCACATTTGAGCCATCAGAGCCAACCCTACATTCCCAGTTTTCACGATACTCCCGGTTCGTACGAAGGGATCAGATTGGGTAAAAAACGGATATTTTGATTTTTTATTATTATTATTACTGTTCATATACGAATTTTAGGTCTTTGGCTTTCCAAAACTCTTAATTTTTTTCCTTCTATATTTCAAAAATGAATAATTTTTTCATATGCTGACCAATGAAACTGGAAATAAACTCACAAAAACTAAACTAAAATATTTTTTTATTTTTAGAGTATTCTATTTAAACTTAGTTTATATAAATAAAAGACGTTACGACAAATAAAATTTATTATCATAAATTAATTTTCGGATATTCTTTTCATCAAATAATTTTCTTGCATTTCCCCCAAAGAACGTTAATTTTGAGAAAATCCATTTCGCACAATACAAAAAAACTTATTCTAAAACTGTTTTAAATTTTGTAAGTACATTTTGTATAATGTTATAAACTAAAAGCTTAAATCTAAATGTGAATTTGTTATTTCCAGGCATGAAAGTGGACAAAAATAAAAAAAAGCTGAACTTTTACAATACAGTCCTGGGGGTTGAGGGTTCTATTTTGTACTGTGATATCAAGAAGATGCATAAAATCATAACTTCTAACTCTTCCGGAAGATTTAATATTCAAAGTGGCAGCACTTAGACATTAGAACTTAAATTTTTCTGAAACAAATGTTGTTAAACTTCCTTTTACCACCACTACATAAA